GTCCCGGGCGCCGCTGCTCTCTGCCGAGCTGCGCGCCTGCCTCGTGCCTTGGCTGTGGAAACGATGTCAGGAGGGCGTTTCGTTTGGAGAGCTGTTGCGGGTGGTGGTCAGCAAAACGGCACCGGGCCCTGTCCGTGTAGCTGTTCAGAAGCCTCCTGCTTGTTACGTATATGCTTTGGCTCTTTTCTGTTACTGTGCCTGTAAGAAAAGCGCCGTTGCCAGTACTGTAGAGTAACGTCATACTTTCCTCATACTCCCTTTCCGTAAATCCGTTTTCATCGTATTTAACGTTAACATAGTGTAGATTTCGGTGGCAGTCAAGGACTGTGCCTGATAAAGCAGAAGCTTTCTTTGAAAAAGCGGACAGAAAGCAAGCAGGGTTTGGTGGTTTGTTGTTTTTTTTAATGGCAGTGGAAGGTAAAAGAAGAAAATTTCTGGTTGTTGTTCAATAGAAAGGAAAGTGAAGTTAGCAACTCGGAAAGCCCTCTATTTTTCTTTTCAGAATCTTCCTTGGAGACAAAGAATTGCATATGTCAAGGGCAGGGGGAGAGCAGGGAAGCAAAGTGGCTTAGATGCTGGTTGTCTAATAGAGAATTCAAGGCCAGAATAGCAAGAGCTGTCTTTTACAAAACAAGGAGGCAGCTGACATCCTGAGATATTTGTTTTGTATTTAGAGAGTAAATATTGTTAGAGTGCCTTTCTCTTATGGGCCACGCAGTACATTTTACCCTGCTCTTGAGGCCCTTTCTGGGGATCCCTCCTTTTCTTAAGGCGTCCAAACTGAAGCCAGGCTGATCGGCTTCTCAAACACAAATATTTTATGAATCATTCTGCTTCTGAATTTTCAAACCGCACATGTTTGAATGTAGAACTGAGTGAAATGATTTTTGTGGAATACAGAGTTGTGAGTAAAGAACCATGTACAAAAACACATGCTTACAAAACCCTTGCCCCTCTTCAGTCTGGTTTTGGTTATTTTCTATTTCCCTTTGGTATGCCACTGCCTTTTCTGGAGGACTTAAGAGATGCAAACTGCACTGAAAATTGAGTCACTGTTCAGATTTGCTGTTCAGAAACGTACTGTGCCTGCTGAGCGGCCTAGTTGGGAAGGAGTACACAGTAGTTCTTTTCTCACTGTCTTTGGGTAAGGTTTAGTTTCCGTTTAAACTTTAAGTGAAACACCAAATATAAATTAATCAAAAACTTTCATGGACTCTGTAGATTATTGCTGCTTTGATGAGAAATGGCTAGTTCATCCCTTTTTTATTAGAAGCCTAATTCTGAGCAGAACGTTTTTCTTTTTAGCATTATTCAGGACTAGAAGAAGCTGTCTATAGGAACATCCAGGCGTGCAAAGAGCTTGCTCAAACCACCCGTACAGCTTATGGACCAAATGGTAAATAAATCCTAAAATTATCGTAGTGTTTTTGAGCAAAATGTTATGTTTGAAGGCTAAACTTACCTCGACAAAGAAGCAACTGTTTGTTTCTTGAGGAAACACGTTGGACTTGCTCGAGAACTCTAAATATAGTCTTTGTGGCTATACAGATGAGACTTTGTTTGGCCAGCTCTTTAAGTTATGCACAATGTACCTGCCTTTGCCAGGTTTTTGTACCAGTTACTGTGTCCTCTTTGCTGTCTTACTGCTATATGGAAGACCTACAAAAATTAAAGGAAATACAATAACTTGGTAAATATTTGTAATGAACATGACCATACTGTGTCTGGTCAGATATACCAAAACAGAAGGTGTTCTCCAGTATCGATTAATTAAATGATGTACTAGTATTTCTGAAGAGAAAACTGCTTATTCAGAAATTATTGATTTTTCCTTAATGTAACACATTCCCAAGCGTTAATTCGCAAAAATCTTTTCGGTTCTTAAATTATTAATAGGGCTAACGTTTTAATGTGTAAGATATACCTGAAAGTTATGAAACAATATCTGTGTGCAAAGTGATGCTTGCCTAATGAATGATTTTTAATATTTTTTTTTTCCCTCCGTTAGGAATGAACAAAATGGTTATCAATCATCTGGAGAAGCTTTTTGTTACAAACGATGCTGCTACTATCTTGAGAGAGCTGGAGGTAAGTTTTCTTGCTTCAGAAGATGTCAGTCGTGAACTAGTGTTTCTGTTCATGGGCTGCTATGGTTCTGAATGTTAATAAGGAAATACATGTCATCCTGCCAGATGATTTACATGTGTAATTTTGTAAATCATTTACATTTTTCACTGGATCTGAGTGATGTCAATGGGCTGTATCCACAGTGAGGGCTAGAACTCTTTTGTAAAGCAGCATTAAGTAGTTGCAGGAGATGGTTAATAATCACCTACTTTTTTTTCCCCCAAACCAGTGTAGATTTAGAAGAGGGTATGTCTAGACAATACAGTGTTTGGAAAACTCTGAATGAAATAGCTGTTGTGTTTATCTCCAAGTGTTGGTGGTTGCCATGTTCTCCTGTCTGCTTAGAATACATTAATTGGATTTAAGAAGCTGAGGATATAGCAGTAGCATCCTGTGAATACTTAAAAAGTGTGGAAAGGCTGACCTGTCCTAACTTTTTCCTCTTACTATCAAATTCATGTGTGTATCACAACACAAATAATATTTTACTGAATTCGATTCTTACTGATAGAAATAGTGTATTAAGTATTTCCTTACTTAACACATTGTGTTAGTGTTCGGTATAAGTAGAATAACTGTGGAAGTCTCAGTTACGTTTTAAAAAAGTAATCTGCAGATTACTTAATCTAATAAGTCTTGCATGTTACTTTCTGGGATAAAATGACAGCTGCTCTAATTATATTCAAGAACACAGCATTTTTGTTGCATTTCTTTGAAAGAAAGGGAAAGCAGTGTGATCTTCAAGCAGAAAAAACACCAGAATGGAACTGTAATTTAGGCATCTACTTTGCGTATTACACAAATGAATTCAGCTTGAAGACCTAAACTTCAGGCTCCTTTCCTGTCGCAGAGCTTGATTGTGGAGCCACTGCATCCTGTAAAAATAGCACAGAACCAATGTCAAGGATGTCTTAATTCATGTTGTAGGGGAAGTGTTCAGTTCTCTGATTTTAGGTTTTCTTATCTATGTTTGTACTTTTGCTTATTAGGGAAGTTAGCCAATTAAGATAATCTGTGCTGCTTTCTTCGCCTTTTTTGTGCATTCTTAGTATCTTTAGATACAATTTGAAATAAGAGGGCTTATACTGGATGCACAGAAAAACCTGGAACTGTAGTCTAGGTGGGATGTTAGTAACTAAGATGTGTAACTTCTTGTAAAGGTCCAGCATCCTGCTGCAAAAATGCTTGTGATGGCTTCCCACATGCAAGAGCAAGAAGTTGGAGATGGAACAAACTTTGTCCTTGTTTTTGCTGGAGTTCTTCTGGAGTTAGCAGAAGACCTTCTGAGGATGGGGTTATCAGTCTCAGAGGCAAGTTATATTGTTATTACAGTTCACATGGCTTGAATTCAGATTGCCGTTGGTCAGTATTCTTGGGTCATAATATTGTGAATCATCTGCTTCCTTCCGAACTAATTGTTTAGATAGAGATGTATGAAGAACAGTGTATGTTTTGCTGCTTGTGATTGCTTGCTTCCCTTGTAAGCTTTTGCATTTGTTGATGTTTTATGGCCCTTTGAAAAGGAGATATAAGCAGTATGAATGCATAGTG